CCCCCCCGCCAAATCGTCTGGTGTCACACTAGCCCATAACATCTAAATTGAGCCCCCAAGGACCAGATTAGGGATACTTCTCAGAAAAATTTGAGTTGATTTTACAGATCACAGCATCAGATTATACATAACCTGTACATGAAAACTCTGCTTAAAACCTGGTCGGTATTACTTATATGTCCCTGAGCAAAACTGAGAGTAGCTACTAAAACCTTCTAGAACGATGGGAGATTGAATTAAATGCAATCTAGTCTGAATATCAGCAGATCTCCAGTCAAGTAATCCCCAATCTCCATGCGGTAAGTAATAAATCAAAAGCAATGTTGCTCAACACCCCTAGCTAGAGGGGTGATTGTACTGTATGCGCATCTCTCTTCAAGGTTTCTTGCTCTGGCTGTTACATTAGAGCTACTAGATCTGAGTGGGAAAAATCCACAGGACCACCAGGGGGCAGCAAAATGTAGTTGTAGGTAGGTCTCTGCTGCCCTCTAGTGATCTGATGGTCGTCTGCAGCCCAGATGGCTAATTCTGCAACATCTTTGCATCATCTGACAAATAAATATATACATATGGCTGGTGTGGGTCTTCCGGGCTGTGTGGCCGTGTCATCGTATGCCGGCCGTGAAAGCCTTCGACAATACAAATATATACATAATTCCCTCTTTCTGTACCCCCAAGAATAAACGATTCGCCGAACTTCAGAAGAGGCCATTCCTCACATCTTCCCCTGAGACCCTCTGAGAGCTCACTTCTTTCCCATCAGGGATCTGACCCAAGCGGGTCTCCGGGTTGGTGACAGAAGGAAAAGCGTGTGTCATTTACGAAAAGCTTAAACTGCTCCTGGGCCAGCCTGGCTGCTAATGTGGAATCAGCCCAGTGAAGTCAGAAAATTTACTGACACCACTTGGATCAAGAGCTCGGCCATTTTCCATCACTTTGTTCTTGGAAATGTTCTAGGATGCAGCTAGCAAAGGAATGTATTCATCTGCTCAGAAGAGCAACGTCAAGCAATGCTGCTGCTGCTGCTGCTGCCTGAGTCAGTAATTACAAAATGTAGAACAGTCTGTCCTCATCCCTTGATTTGGCAACTCCCTCCTCTCCACATAAAACCAAGCTGCTATTGATTTCTTAAAAACAAATCAGCCTTTTCTCCTGCTTTGTTACATTGGGAGTGCTTTGTGGTCATATTCCTTCCCTGATGGTATCTGCTTCAGCAGGTTCACAAATTTGATTTCAGTTTCATTTTGCCAGCTCTGCTCGTGGTCCTGTGTTAGTCACAGGCTTTGTGAGCAAGATTTGGCCCTTGTCCGAAATAAATGTATGGATCTCCAAGGAAAAGATGGGATGAATCGTCCTTCCAGGAAAAGGAACATTACCAATAGAGGCGTATCTGTGTAGCTCAGGGCTGAACTGTGGAGTCCGTGGGGTTCTCTGAGCTTGGTTCTTTTCTTGCAAAAGTTTCATTACCCGGCTAGGTAAGATCTTCAGTGCTAAAATGGGATGGGGTTTGCTCTCTGTTTATATGCTGCGGCCTGCCTTGCCAGTGCTGGTGGGGGTGAGGGTTTTGTTTTGCTCCTC